CCCACAAATCCCGTTACTTTACCTTTTGAAAAATATCAAATCCTTCGGCCCATAGTTGATTAACGAGATGCATAGTCGAATTACATCTGTATTAATATACTATCCCATATCATTTAATAAACTATCCCACTGGTATAATTTTACTATGGATCTCGTTAATCGACTATGGGCCGAAGAATCATCAAAACCCTAGATTTGAGAAGTGACGGCGGCGGATTTGTTTTTAAAATTAATAGACTATCTCATATCTTTTAATAGACTATCCCATGTATCTAATTCGACTATGGGTTTAGTTAATGGAAAAATAATAATATATATGGAAACTGAATAATATGTTTGTTTGAAATACTAATCAATTAGGGTAATTTTCCTTATTATATGAAAACGATTAGGGTAAATAATAATATATATGAAAAAATAATAATATCTATGGAAACTGAATAATATGTTTGTTTGAAATACTAATCAATTAGGGTAATTTTCCTTATATCATGTAATAGACTATCTTATTGATCTAATTCGACTATGGATCTCGTTAATTGACTATGGATCCCGTATTATTCAACCACATATAGTATATTAATAATTTCAATATAGTACATTAATCTGCTATGATAGTATATTACGGTTATAGTAGTGATATGAAATTGTGTTACAAACAATATACCACTGAAATGATAAGAACATTGAGAACAACACCAACGTAAAGTATTCCACATAACCAATAAAATAGTACATTAATAATCTCATAATTTCAATCTAGGGTTTTGATTAAATACATAAAACACATCATAACAAAATCAAACCAATATGTCGAGTTAAAAAACTCTAGTACATTAATAATCTCATAATAGTATAATAAAATGAAAATGGTAGTATCATACGGTATTCATAATAGTATACTACTGTATTACAACGGTTTAACACTTAACCGAAGTTACCGAGCCATTACATCGTAAACACCTCTTTATAGCAACCAACCCACCAAACCTCAACAAAATCCGTACGAAATTCGCCATCGAAAAAACCTAAAATCATGAAACAAAATAAAAAATGCAGAATACTAAAAAATGATTAAATAGACTGCAAATACATTTGAATGATAATACATTAATATCATCAAAAATAAACTTAAAATGCAAAATCCATACGCTAAATTAAAAAAAACTATGAACTATATTTTAATGTACTACCCAGCACACTTAAATCGGCTGTTATAAACAAATAAACCAACTATCGATCGGGATAAAAACATGAACTCGACCACAGCGGACAATTATTCGGATTATTGCATAAACCAACTACGAAGCTCATATAAAACAACTCTGGTCCGATCTGCGTGAACCATCCTCGGCTAAAAAAAACGATATATATATGACGGAATAATTTTGTTAAAAAACGTTCTGCTTAATATAATCAAGTATCAACACAATTCTTAAAAATTTCTAACCACCGTAAACGACAATCATGGACATTGAGCAAAAAATAAAAACGAATAACGCATTCATACCCGCTTAACAACGTCCAACAACAAACGCTCAAAAATCGATCATATTTCCACGACGGTGCAGAAATCTTCAAAGACGATAAAACCCGCTGGAACGATGAAGAGAATCTTCAAAAAATATTGTACACGATTTGATATAACGGCCAATGATCTCACGTAAATTTATTCCGTGATTTTAGGCAACGTATCTGCAAATCTCAAATCACGTATTAAAGGAAATAAATGTCGTTTAATAATAAAACAGGGGTATTAAAGGGAAATTATATAATATATTTTGCCAAGTTGGCAAAATTGGGTGTATCTCAAAAAGGGGAAAAAAAATTGGATCTACCTCATTAGAAAATATGAATAAGGGGGTTTTCCCTAATAAACCCTAATAATAATAATAATAATAATATTTTACATTTTGAAAACTAATTCACTAATTAACACT